AGGTAGGATGGTGGTTGCCAGGGGCTGCACGAAGGGGGAAATGGAGAGTGGTTAACGGGTGCAGAGATTCAGCTTTGCGAGGTGAAAAGAATTCTGGGGATGGGTTGCACAACGATTGAATGGAATTAACACTACTGGACACCTTAAAAATGGTTAAGATGATAAATTATGTATATTCACCATAATTAAAATTTTCTTTAAAATGTCTTAAAACAAAATGTCTTCAATTGATAAGACTTTCCTTTAGCTTAAGATTATGTCCTTTTTACCCTTATGATAGTTGTAGATGGCAGTAGAGTTGGGAAGATTTGCTGTTTTGTTTATATGAGGGTTTGTTTTTTTTAAATTTTCTTATTTGACACAATGAAAAATTGGCAGCCTGATATTGATCCCTAAACTCATTTTGAATTTTGATAGGCCTCTAAAACCTCAAAGGTGGGGAACCATTGCTCAAGAGATCAGTGGTTCTCACCTTTGACTTCCTGCCTGGCCCAACACACTAGAGTGATACACCCCAGACACCAGAGCAGTGGCGCTTATTGTCAGCTGGAATTTTGGCCTTGAAGGGGGAGGGTGCATATCAGAATGGCTGGGAGTCCCGTATGCTAGGTAAAGGCTCCAGGTGGTTCTAACAGGGTCCCCCTCCCAGGTGGCACTGACCCCTCCCCAAACCTAGCTAACCTGAGAATTCCTTCTCAGTAGTATTGACAATGCCAGGATATTTTCATGGGGCTCAGAAGGACCTGGACACCTCCTTGATTAATTCACCATGTCGTCTTGTGTACAGGACTGTGCCTAAGCCTCCCAGAAAATAGATAAGACTTCCAGGAAAGGCAAGTCCTTCTGAAATGTTCAGCCACCAACACCACAGAAAGGCTTTCTTTATTTCTAACGTCAATCCTTCACCCTGGACTTGGAACACATTGTTCTTTACTTTTCCAGGCCAAGTCGTTTTGTCATTCTGTTATCATTTCCTCAGAAAAATCCAAGGGGTTAAGTCAGGTCTTTCAAACTGCAGGTTGTGACCTATTAGTGGGTCAGTTAAGCATGACCAGTATTTTTTTTTTGTATCGTATTGAAAGACTAGAAAACATTAAAGTGCTTCACATGTAGTGAAGGTAATTATTGTTTCGTGAAACTTTATATGTATTCGGGGCTGGAACACAATGTTTGTCCGAATGTGGGCAGTCATCAAAAAAGTTAGAAAATCATTGGATTCAATAAATGACCTCTATAATCTGTGATAACCTAAAATTCTATGAATCTCACTTTCACAGTAGACAGAACTCTCCCGTCAGTGGCACCAGCTCACCATTCTCATCAACAAACCTGAGAGCTGCTATTCGTCCTTGAGACTATTGTGGCGTCCTGTGACCAGTCTGCCTTGATTCATTCTTGTAGACTTGGACGTCAGGCCTTCCCCTGGGTGTCTCCTCTAGATAATGATTTTCATAGTGTTTATTCTACTATATTGGAATTGTNGCCCGGCGCCCCGAGGGGCAGTTGGCGCTGGGCGCGCTCTTCAAGGGGGCTTGGGCGAGACCGGCGGCCTTCCGGGGGGCGCGGGAGGCAAGGAAAGGCGGAGAGAAAGGAAGTCTCGGCTCCGGCGGGCGCCGCGCGCTGGCTCCGGCGGGAGCGGAGACTCAGGTGGCTGTGCGGCTACCGCTGGTTTCGGTTCTGCTGCGCCGCGACGGGCCGCTGCCGCTCTCTGCCGCCACCGCCGCGCTCTGCGCCCCTGGCCTCGGCACCGCCTCCTCCCGGGCGGCCGCTGCTACCGCCGCCATCCTCCCGCTCCCACGGCGGCTCCCGGGTGAGTGGGAGGCGCCCGCCCAGACTTCGCCCGGGCCACCTTCCCTCCTCCCTCAGCCACCCAGCTGTTAGTAACGGAGAAAGAGGAAAAACGGGTGGCGCTTGAGGGGCGGACGGGGGAGGGAAAGGAAGAGGGACGCACGCTTCCCGGCAACCGTCGCCGCGCTGCCCCCGCGAAAGAGGGGCGGGGAGCGGTCTGGGCCACGAAGGTGGGGGTACCCAGGAGGGGAGGAGGCTACCGGCCCTCGCACCGGAAGGCCGGGGAGCAGCGAGTCCCCAGGGTGCGCCGGGGCCTGTGTGTTTGGGTCGCGCACGGTGACCCCGCCCCCGCCCTCTGCCGCCCGGCGGATTGGCTCCCGCCAGCTTGGCCCCGCCTCCCCCTGCCGCGGCCTTGCAGGCCCGGTCCCGCCTCGCCAAGGTACCGTAGTGTGGTAGGTGCTGCCACCCGCGGACTCGGTGATGGACAGGTCTCTGGCCCCGCCTCCCTCCAGGGCGCGCCCCCTCCTCCACTGCGGGGTCTAAGCCAATTGGAAGGACTGAGGCCCGGGGTGCCAACCAGAAGGCGGCTCCTCCTCCCGCACGTGGCCATACGACGCAGTAGAAGACAGTGAGTTCCCTTCACCTTTCCTTGGCTGGGGCCAGGTATGGCTGTGTTTTGTGTCCCGAGCTGTTGTTCAGTTTGGATGGGTGTTAACTTCCACGTTGGTGTTATTAAATGAGTGGGTTTTATATGAAACAGATGCTCAGCAATGCTGATGATAAAAAAAAAATGAGAACAATGAGAACGAAAGAAACAAGAGGGTAGCAGAAGCCAACTTAATTTGAACTAGCTCTATCCCATGAAAAACTCCAACCCTGGAGGAAGAGCAGAGTTGAAAGAACTAAGAATAATCCAGCCTGACTTTCATCTGCAGGGCAAACACTGTGGTGCAGAGAAGGCTGCTCCTGGTTTAGGAGACCTGGGGCCTAGGTCTGGGACCAAAACTAAATTACAGGTAGTGAACAAATTATTTTACCTTTTTGGACTTTACTTTTTCTACCTGGGATGTTTGTATTAAATCCCTGCGGCACCTGCAGCTTTAGAATCTAATAATTTATCTAAAATGGAATTTATTAAAATTCTCCTCAGTAACCAATGTTTCTCCAAGTAAACCAACGTTTACTTGGTAAGTAGAGAAAAGTTTGAAAGGCCAAAGTGGTTACCAGAATGACAAGTTTCAATTCAAGAAGGTATTTAGTAATTTGATCTGATTTCCCTGTTATTGAATGAGGCATTCTGTGTAAAACTCTGGTTCAGCAGGAGATTGTTACCAATACTGTAAGATCCTACTATTAATAGAGAAAATTACAAACACTGATTTAAAAAAAAAAAGGAGTAAAAGACTTTTGCAAGTCTCTGGGAGCTAACTGGCAAGTGCAAGAGTTTCACACTCATCATTATACATGCATTTTAAAAGTTCAGATAACTATGATATGGAGCAAATCTGTTCAGTAGTTAAAACTATTAAATGGAAAGATTTCACAATAAAACCCGATGACTCTTAGTTGTAGCTAGATTTATATTATGCTTCATCACACCCAAACTTGGTTGCATTTTTAAGTCACTTTTACCCAAATGGTAATTACACCTTAAAAGCGCTCCACATTTATTCCTAACAAGGAAAAAAAATCCCCTTAAAGTGCCAGGTTTCCAGCATTCATGCCACACACAACAGTTGGAATTTACATTTGTTTGAGTGATTGATAGATGTACGTCCATTTGTAACAAGACTGTAAATTCCATGAGGGCATGTAAAGCGTGTGGTTTTTGTCCATTGCAGTGCATGGCACTCAGTAGCCCCTAGGTAAGTATTTGTTGAATAAATGAGAGGTGAGAAGGCCATTTACAGGCTGAACGTTGGATGTAAGAGGATAAACATTGCAGTTGTAATGATCATTCATTCAGCTTATAATTAATGTGTTTTCTGTTACTCAGTACCAGGCATAGCATATTAGGATACACTAAGCTACACAGAGGAAACAAACCCCTAAACCTTACGGCCTTGATGCAGTGAAAGCACATTCTGAGTTCCCTTGGTACACCCTCTCATCTCTCTCTAAACAGTTCCCCACTTGAGTGGCAATCCTGTGTGTCTCTCCTCCAACTCAGGGACCCAGGCTCTTATCTAGTGGCTAAGCAGGCCCCTGGAGCCATCACAGAGTTCGTTCTTTATTAGATCCTGTGCACCTGGCTGGCCAAAGAAAAAGGGCAGCTATTGAATGAAGTTTTGGCCAAACCTGAAAGGGTTTGCATCCCTCCTGCCCACTATCCATGTTGGCAGAAATCAATCACATGGTCTAACCTAATTGCAAAGGGGTCAGGAAATATAGTTTTATGTGTGTGCCCAGGAAGAAAAGGAAGTAATTTTGGCAGGCACATAACAAGCGTGTCATTGCCATACACGAGAACCATTTGTCTGACAAATACCGAAGCTAAATATTAAATCTTAAGTAAAACATTTTACAATAAAAATTGTTACATGAAAAAATTTTAGTGAGAGTTACAATATTAAGCCATCAAAATGTAGTAAAAAAACNAACAGACCTGGAGGACAGAGAAGGTAGTGACCAGGCATGTGGTTTCTGGAGTCAGCTGCCTGGTACAGTTTCTTCCTAGCTATGTGACCTTGGGCTGGTTACTTAAAGGTTTCCCCACCTGATAATGGGAATATAACAGTATCTTAACCACAGGGTGGCTGTGAGGACCAAGCAGCATACTTCATAGAGACCCTGGCACATCCATGCGCATTGTTAGTATTTAGATTATGTATCCCAACAACACTTACTAGCTTTGTGCCCTTGATAAGTTACTTAATCTCTCTGAGCTCCAGTTTCCTCAAACATAAAATGAAAAATTCTAATATCCATCTTACAAGTTTAAGGTTTTACATAAAGAAATGGTATGTAAAATTCTTGGCATGACATTTGACCCAGGTACACAGTCAATAAATGGTTAATCTTCAACGTAGTTTCATTTGTATTGGGATAAATCATTCTGACCTCTATTTAACCATCTGCCAGATCTCAGAATCTCCTGCCCCCACCTTCCACAGGCCCTAGTCTATGGGGACAGATGACAGAAGATGGGAGGATCATTTCACTCTTTATTTCAGCATGTTATACTTCAACAGAAGAACTTGTTTTTACTACCCCAGTGGGCTCACATGGGTAGGTTCTGGCAGCAGCAATTAGTCTCCTTATTACTTTACAGATGAAGAAGAAATAAACTTGTCTCTGACATGTTGAATTTTCTCAAGCAAGTCCCATATGGAGGATAAAAGCTCTTAATCTAATCAAAGCCAGAGAAAATAATTCTGGTTTCATGCTTCTTTAAAGCTTCTCATCAAAATGCTTTGAAGACCTGCAATGTGCCAGGTGTTGTGCCAGATTCACCGTAGAACCTGTAACAAAGGTTTGAACAAATTACTACAGGAGCACAGCCCGGGACCTGCGGGGAGGCAGGATATGATGTTTCACAGAACAGGTGCTATTTTGGCTGGGCAGTGAAAGTTTAAGGAGGAGTTGGTAAGCGGGAAATGGGGGGAAAGGTGATCAGAAAGAGAAAACAGCATAGACACTGATGACAAGGTGGGAAACAGCTTGGAATGTTTGGGGAGCTGCCTGTGGCCAGAATGGAAGAAGACGGAGTTAGAAAGTTAGCCTGCAGCTAGATAGTAAGCCAGATCCAAGAGTCTGAATTTTATCCTGTTAGCTGTGGTAAGATGACCACATAATTCATCATCCAAATGGGTTACTTTTGAGAGTAAAGGGCATGCTAACCAGATGGAATAACAGAACACCCAGCATAGAACTGTTCCAGGCTCACAGGGACCTTGCTTTGGGAGACCTCTAAGGCCTGACACTGACCAGATTTGTGTATTATAGAGGGAAGTCTGGTAGCAATGCGATTGGAAAGAGGAGACACCTACAGTCAGGGAGATAGCTAAGAAGGCAGTGGGGATGGAGAGGAGAGACATCTAGGTTTTGTCAGGAATATAATGGATTGGAGAGGGGGAAAGAGTGAGTGGAGGGGGAGAGAGAGAGAGAGTGAGAGACAGAGACAGAGAGGGGGGAGAAAGAGGAGAAGAAGAAGGATGAGGAAGAAAGGAAGGAGGGAAGGAGAGAGGAAGGAAGGAGAGGTAGGAGAAAGAAAAAGAAAAAAGAAAGGAAAGAAAGAAAGAAAAAGAAAGGGCGAGTTAATGACAGCATTTCTAGGCTGGATGATGTGGGGACTAAGGAAGACAGGAAGAGGAGCAGGTTTTGGGGAACAGTTTGTGCAGTCTGAGGTATGCTGCGTTGGAGATATTTGCTAAATACTGATGTCCAGCAGGCTGTTACAGCGCAAGGCATAGAACTCACAGGTGGAGATTGGACATACAGATTATGTTATTATAGGTAATAATACGAGGAGGAAATCGCTGAAAATCACCAAAGGAATGTAAGTGTAGAGGGAGAAAATATGAAACCTAGGAAATGGCCATGGGTTGGTGGAAGAGGAGGAACCAGAGAAGGAAAAGGGAGTCCGAGCAGTAGGAGGGAAAAATGGGAGGGAAGGCATCCCAGAGGGTTTCAGGAGAGAAGACGCCCTCAAACAGGTGGAGAATGATGAAGACTGACATCATGGTTGACGGGAGAGCATCCATCATCGTTGACCTTTCTAGAGTGACAGAGGTGGAAACCAGGTGCTCACTGCTCCTTGAAGACTGCATGGGAATGAGTGCCAGAAGGCAACTGTAGATGGCTCTTTCCAGGAGGTTAACAATGACTGGCAGGAGAGGGAGTTACAGCAGCTCGATGGGGAAGCAGTTTCCCTGCTTCATTTTCCTAATGCTGTTTACTTCTAAGTCGGGTGTAAACATGTGATTAGAAAATGAAAGAAAAAGCATTTGAATTTCCCTCAGGCCCGCTGGGTCTCACTTTCACAGTCATGAGAGCTGAACTTGAAGTGCTTTTCCTTGTCCAGAGTGATGGTGGCTCGAAGCAAGTATGTTGAGAGTGTGTTTTCCAAACCCCAAATCTTGATGAATTGGCTCGTATTCAGATGTAACTTGGTAATGGCCCAGTTAGGACATTTCAGTGTATATAATGCTTTTACACATCAGCGTGCAATAGCTAAGCCACTAAAGCTTAGCTATCTTAGCTATTATAGATAGTGAAAAGATCAATTAAAAGAATTTTACATGATGAATATTTATGATTCTATGTAAGACCTAAGATGGCTGAATCAGTGCCCTCAGAGCCTACAGAAAGCAGTGACTTTCCAAAGACAAAAGCGATGTGACTTCTTGGAATTCTCAAGGCCTTGACTAATCTTGGTCTAAAAATATGCAGGTCATCAACCTGGGTGGTCCTCATGGTGAGTCATCTCCAGCAACAGAGATTGTGGGTTCCACTATAATATAAAGCTAGAGAAGAAACCAGGTAATACAAAGTTCAGAGAAATTTGTTTTAAGTCTACTTTGTCTGGTATAAGTATTGCTACCACAGCTTTGTTTGTTTGTTTGTTTGTTTTCATTTTCATGACTGCCTGAGGGGCTACCTGGTAGGAACTACAAAGCCATCTGCAGT